AGCATTTGACACATATTTCTTGAGTACCAACTATGTTCAAAGCATTATGCTGGCAATTAAGAGTTTACAGAGGTAATACATATAGGCAATGGAATATTATAAAGCCATGAGAAAGAAGGCCATCTTGCCATCTGCAACAATATGGATGGAATTTGAGGACATCATGCTAAGTGAAATAAGTCAAACAGAGAAAGACAAGTACTATATGATACCCTTATACATGGAATCAAAAAAAGCCAAACTCGTAAAAATATAGAGTAAAATGGTGGTTACCAGGGCCTGGAGACTGGGGGACCAGGACAGATGTTTAAGGGTACAAACTTGCAAAGAGTAGTAAATAAATCCTAGAGATCTAATGCACAGCATAGTAAATATAGATAATAATAGTGTATTATTTTCATCTAACCTGCCAAGAAACTAGATATTAATTATTCCAACCATTAAAAATAAATTATAATTATGTGACAGGATAGATGTGTTAATTATCACAGTAATGGCAATCATATGACAATATATGTATCAAATCAACATGTTGTACACTTTAAATTTACACAGTTATATATCAAATATATTTCAATTAAAGAATCTTTTTAAAAAGTTTATAGACATAAATAAGATATAGCCTTTACCCTCTAGGAGCTTAAAAATACAGCAGATCCAATAAATGTGATATAAAAAGGAAAGTGAAATTAAAAGAAACTACTGTTAAGGTAGCATGGGAGTATCTAATTTTGACTTGGGGGATTAGAGGCGTTTTCTAGAAAAGCATCACTCACAATAAGCCTTAAAAGATGAATTTTGGGATAATGAGAAAAAGTGAAGGAAGGTAAAAATCAATAAGTAGGCTAGGGTCAGTTATGAAGACACTAATCAGCCATCCCAAGAAATCTGGATGGAAAAAATTATGAGCACTGTAGAAAACCATTTCATGTTTTTTCAGGAGAGGAGGTATTTATTTTAACTGAGTTTTAGTTCCCTTTATAAAGGCAGCTGTGTGGAGGATGGATTGGACAGGATAGAAACCAGCCAAGACTAGTTAGGAGGTTATTATGATAAGTCAAATGAAAGCTAATGAAAGACTGTTTACTTTTATTGCCTGCCTCTTAAAGGAAATGTAAGCTCCATGAAGGCAGGGTGCTTGCTTTACTCACTTCTCTATCTCCAGCATGCAGAACAGTGCCTGACATATAGATCAATAAATACTTGTTGAATAAATAAATAAGTGAAAGAATAAATGAACGAATGAGTTGATTATTAAGTGAAACACCACAAATGTAAAGAGGTCAGAAAGAGACATTTTCAGGGCGCCTGGGTGGCTCAGTCGGTTGGGCGTCTGCCTTCGACTCTGGTCGTCGTCTTGGGGTCTTGGGATCGAGCCCCACATCGGGCTCCCTGCTTAGCAGGGAGACTGCTTTGTCCTCTGCCCCTCCCCCCGCTCGTGTTCTCTCTGTCTCTCTCTGTCAAATAAGTGAATAAATTCTAAAAAAAGAGAAAGAAAGAAAGAGAAGGAAAGAAGGAAAGGAAGGAAGGAAGAGACATTTGCCTCAGAGATGGAATTTTCTCTTTTTCTACTGACACATGCCATAGCTGGGTCCTTCTCAAGGGTTGGCAGCAGATGAAGCTTGTTGGGAAACCTCCCAGATTGTCCTGTCTGTGCTCTTTTCAGCCTTTGCGGCAATCTGCTCCCTTAGCGTCCACCATCTTCCTACCATCTAGAGCAGAGGTCAACCAACTATGGCTCCTGGTTCAAATTTGTCCTGCCACCTGTTTTTGTAGGGTTGGTGAAAAAAGAATGGCTTTTACATTTTCAAATAGGGAAAAAGTGGAAGAAGAAGAAGATTTTTTACATGCGAAAATTCCATGAAATTACAATTTCAATGTCCATAAATGAAGCTTTATTGGCACATAGTCACATTCATTTGTTTCCATGTTGTTGATGGCCACTTTTGCCCTACAATGGGAGAGTTGAGTAGTTGAGACAGAGATGGTATGCCCTACAAAGCCAAAAATATTTACACTCTGGCCCTTTATAAGAAAAGTTTACCAACCCTTGATCTAGATCCTTTCCCTCAGGAAAGGATCTGAAGTTCACAGTAAGGAATAAATCGTTCATCAGTGAAAGCTCCTAAAATATGTTTTTTAAAAATTCAACAAGTAAGACAAAACATCAAATAAAAATAAAAAACAAACAAAAAAAGAGGAAAATACACTAACAATAATATTAACTGTATATTATATGCCACATTCTCACCTAAGCACTTCTTTAAAATTGATTCTCTCCTCTCCATTCAACATGGCCACAAGATAGGTAGGCATCACCAGGCTCATTTTATAGATAAGGAGCCGAAAACTCAGAGGCTGAATAATTTTTCCTGGCTCACAAAGCCAGCCTAAGACAAAGCCAGGATTTGAAACTGCAGTAGTTTAGATTCAAAAACCACATCCTTAACTGTAAATCTAGAATTTCAACACAAATCAGAGCCAGCATAGAGTCTAGGATCTGGAGGATGAGGTTTAGAAGAGCAAAAATGGCTCACTTAAAGCCAAACACCTGGGGAGCGGTCTCCTTAAGGGAAGCACCGCTCTGTGTGTTGCTGGCTGGGCCGTGCTATGTGGACATCTGGATCTGGTAAACACTGGGCTGGCTCCGGGGCATCTGCTGTGAATGTGGGGCCTGGCTTGCGCTATGGCGTCTAGCTGCCTCTGTCTCTTAAGGCAGATGCCTGAGTCCATTATGTGCCGGGGGCAGGGTCTTCCCAGGAATCTCCTGTGCCGTGAATATCGCATCACACTATTTCTAAAGCACCGATGAGACAGGAGTTTAGAAAAATCCAGTGACTTGACTAAAGCCACAGAGAACCCTGATTGAAGCTCCCTGCCCATCCCATCGCCCCTTAAATGTACTCTTGGTTTGCAGAGTATGTGTACCTTCAGCTACACTGTCTGAAACTAAGTGCTTTTGATTCTGCTGTCAAGTCGTGGCTCTTTTTAAAAATGAATTGCAGTCCACAGAGTGACTAAGGAACTAACTACAGATATATATCTTCTCTCGCATCTGTAGTAGCATGTGGTGATGACAAAATTTTAATGATAACTGAAACATTACACAGAGGCTCCGTATTTCCCCAAATCCATTGGTATCTGCAGAATGTGTAAACAGGACCCAGTAGGGAGGAAAGATGCATGTTTAAATAAGCTTGGGAAACACTGAGTTACCTAATTGTAAACAGGTTTATTTACCATAGGATTTCTCAGAGCTTTTAATATGCTTTCATATGCTGTGAATATCTAAAAGGCAAAGGTAGCAAGCCATGTTCCCAGATGTGTTTTTGACTATAAAACACCCCTGCCTCCCACATATATATCTTCATGGTGCACTCATGGGAGCAGCATTTGATGAAACATTTGGGAAAACACTGGCCTGCACATACACTGAAATTTCAACAAGACTAACCACAGTTCTTCTGTATTTCATTGTGTACAGAGGACCCTGCAAAAATTCCTTATGACAGGAGTTTTGTAGGTAAGACTTCAACCCCTGTCACGTTGAGGGGAAAAAAACCAAACAAACAGTTTTTCATGCTCTGGCCATTCTCTTCTTTACCAAAGTCGTTATACCTGAGGGAAAACCCGACATGAATAAAATGGAAGCCCCAATGTATTCATTAAGGGAAATTAGCCACAGTGAATACTCAGTGCATCATGGGGAGTGATGTTGATTAGGAAGCTGTGAAAACATCTGCTCAAATCATGTGTCTGAAGAGCAATTTCTTATGTCCCTCACTTCCTGGGAAAGCTTAGACAATTTTCTAAGCACAGACTTGTTAGCACATTGACCATTCTGTTGGAGTACCTGGTCAAAGCCCTGGCCCATCTGTGTGCTCTGCAAACACTGAGCTCCCTGGGCTGAGAGCCGGATGAAAGGAGCTCCAGCGCCAGGAGAGACTCAGGTGACATCACGACCGCAGCACAGCTTCTACCTCCAATGTCTCCGGTCAACTTCTGGTAATGAGAATGAAGTTTCTTCTGTGCATCCCTAACCCGGCCATACAGTCTTGCAGCTATGCTGGTTCTGGGACTTCTGAGACTCTTCCTGGCCAGCAGCTCACTTTCTACTTTAAATCAGTACCATTCTTCCCATAGATCTTTGCTCCCCTTTACCTTTCACATCCTCACCTTTTAATATCAGGTTTATTTCAGTGATCCTTTCCCAGACCTTCTCCTATGTTTGCTTGTTTTACCCACTTCCAACAATTCATGGATTCCTTTTTGTTCACTGTCTTACATTTAAAATACTGATATTTATGAAATACCCCTGCCTTTGGTCATCATCTGTTATAAGCTGCCCTTCTCATCTGAGAGTCTCCATTTTCCAGTTGCTTCTGATACATTTGGGAAATTTCCTAATTTTCATTTCAGGATTTTATCTATCTACATCAAACACCTCAATGTCTGAAAGCCCACATCCGACAAGTGTGGCACAAGTGAGGGTTTTTAGTATCTAAGACATATCTGTATTAAGTTGGTTCTAAACAGAGCAGTAGAGTGGGGGACAATTAAGAGCCCAACCTGTGAGACGGCCGGTCTGGCAACGTGACTCTAGAAGAGTAACCAGTCTTTCTGTGCCTCATTTCCCCACCTATAAACTGGAGAAAACAATATTACATATCTCACGGTTATAAGGATTAACTGAACTAATATATCTAAAAGACTTACAATAACACCTAGAACCTGGTCAAGCCATATAATCATTAGCTATTATTATTTTCACCATTTAAAATGACAACAACATTTTAGAATAAAGTGTAGAGTTGTTTTTGTTTTTGTTTTTGTTTTTAAGTAGGCTCCATGCCCAGCATGGAGCCCAGTGTGGGGCTTGAACTCAGGACCCTGAGATCAAGACCTCAGCTGAGATCAAGAGTCAGACACTTAACCGACTAAGCCACCCGGGTGCCCCAAGTGTAGAGTTTTTAAAAAGTCTTTCTTTCTGTCTTTTTAAGGCCCAGATTATATAAAAGATCATCTAACTAAAGTTCATCAGCACACTTCCTATATAGGAGAAAAACGCCCAGCATTGGAAAAGACTGGAGATCTCAGATATTTATGGAGGCCTGCCTCAAACAGAAGCTTACCAGCAAAATATAAATATGAGTATGTTGGTGAAGTTGGTTGGGGAATACCAGAGTATGATTTTATCAACCAAACAAGGCTTCAGACTGGCTTTCAGATCAAGGTATTGCTCTTAAATACGCTCTTCATAGCATATTGTTTGTGACTTGAATCCTTTCTGAGTATGCTTCCCTAAGAAATGTCATGTTCTTGATTTGTCATTGAGAAGTAATGGGATTTGAGTTTTGTAGAAAAATAAATGTGTGAATAAATGGACTTGCTATGATTCCCTTTTCATCCCTTTAATACATGAGAGGAGAGGTGTGAAGAGAAGGAAGCCATGAATAATCCAAAAGCATTTGTGTTTGGCTTTGGAATGCATTCAGATTCACATTTATGCTGCGACATTCACACATACTTCCCCCATCCTAGCACTGCATTCTGAGTGGGTGGTATAAAAGAAGCCTGTGCTGGACATCATCCACAAGCCGAAATAGAGAGTTTCAGATCTTTAAAATGCACTGTGTTGATAATGCCTTTGTATCAAATAATTCAGGGTAATTAGCCAAAGGGTTCTTAGAAACCTTGTCTTGGTTCCTTTGGGTGATGTGTATGGAGGCATGAGCCCAGTCTCCTCTGAAACAAAAGGGAACCAGGTGGAATTCAGACTTTTTTTTTCCAGGCAGGCTTTTGCATTATCTGAAAATTGAACATGTATCAATCACGAAATAATTGGATTTCCTCAAATGCTTAAAAGGCAGTATAGCACAGCCTCATATGGTAAAAGTTAACAAAAGAAAAAACTTATTTCTGGCCCAACCTACGGCAGTGGGAGAGAGTCCTTGGGGGTTCAGTCTTTGAGGTCAGACAGAGCCAGATTCAAATCCTGACTCTGAGTTAGGTTTCGCTCTATGACCCTAAGCTAGAGAGTTCACCTCTCTGGGTCCCTGCTCACTTCTGTTCCACATGACAGTGCATAGAGTGCCTGTGTCACAAGATCACCGGAATTCCTATCCTGGTTCCGCCCACCTACTTGCTGTGACTGCCCTTGGGCAAGTTCCTTAACCTCTGTTCTTTGGTTTCTTCATGATGAGTCTTAGTATTTACCTTACAGGGCTGTTGTAAACAGTAAGCAAGTTAACAGTTGTAAAGGGCTGGGAACCATGCCTGGCACATATCAAGCACTCTATGCATTTAATATTATTTTTGTTATGTGGTGAGGATTAAATATGAGACCACAAGGAACACATGAGGTCTGATGCCTGGCAAGTGGTTGACATCCACGTGTCAGCTCTTAGTACCGTGGTTGTATTTAATGTTACTCAGCATCATTTAATGGAACAGATGCTCAGGTACTTAAACTGTGTCCTAGTCCATGTAAGCAAGAAAGATGAAGACCAGAAATCTGATGAAATATCAAAACTGGCCACCAGCAAGAAGACTACAGCCCAAGCGAGGTGGCTGATTTGAACAGAGTCCATAACTTTTGTCGCCTTTTTGCTTCTCTTGGGTGACGCCCTGCGTCTGTCGGCCCATCTTGAGTGTGTATAGCTTCTCTTCCTTCTTTATCTTTAAATTAAGAACACGTTTGCCTATTCCTTGGACTTTGAAACAAGCTGTGAATCCAAAAGAGATATCAGCCACAAGCTAGCCTTCCAGGAAGGAATTTATTCTGTTTCTTCCATTCATATTTCCCAGATGGCTTTAAATCACTACTCTGTTCAGTAGCACTGTCTTCTCAACCCCTGTGGGACGAAGTCTGAACCACACAGTGATTCCCCCCCCCCCCCAGGCTTGTGGCACACTCAGAAGCTGGTCTTGTTTGGCATAAGCTGTGAAAGCTGTTGCCTATCCTCTGTGCACCTTCTTGGCCCTGGGCTTTTGACAGTAATTGTTTCCAAAGTGGTGCCTGTCTCATCACAATCTTAATACCTTATAGGATTCCTTGGACTTAGAACTTTATAACGAGAACGACAAGATTCACTGAGAATGACTGTACATTTGACCCTTGAACAATGAAGGGGTTAGGCGTGCTGACCCAACAGCTGAAAATCTGCGTATAACTTTTGACTCCACCAAAATTTAATTACTAATACCTACTGTCGACCAGAAGCCTATGGATAATATAAAACAGTTGATGATGATGATTATGACATTTTGAGTATGTACTATGTACTGTATTCTTACAATAAACTAAAAAAAGACAATGTTATTAAGAAAATCATAAGGAAGAGAAAATACATTTACAGAACTGTACTGTAGTCAAAAAAGTTCTGCATAAAAGTAGACTTGCACAGTTCAAACCCATGTTGTCCAAGGGTCAACTGCACATATTAGCGAATAACCATCTATAATTTATCCACCGGTTAAGGCCTAGACTTTGTCATCAAGGCTCCTGATCTTCCCCTCCACACCCAGGCCTGGCTCCCTCTCTCCATCTAAGGCAATATTTGTTTTTGAGTCTAGCCCCAGACTTAGATTCCTTACCAACCCAGTGTTTCAGGCAGTTACTTCCGATCCATATGACTTGGCGTGAATTGACATTTGAGCTGATACAAATACACATGCTCCATGTGTAAAAATGAGCTCCTAATTACAAACAATATATGAGAGCCTGTGGCATTAACTCACACCCCTCATCACCAGGGAGCTGGTTAATTCCTTAGTTTGATGCACCTTAGGGAAATGGGGAGATGTCTTAATGTACTTCCTGTTCTTTCTCTGGTGCCTTGTCTTTAGTACACCCTTTCTACATCCCTCCACCATCCTTATGCATAACAACCCCAGTGAAAATAGCACTTTGTTTCAGCCTAACTGCAGAGACTCCTCAATGTCTCTCACTGCAGTTGCTCAAAACTATGATTTTAAGCACAAACCTTCATCTAGTGGGTTTTTATAGCCTGAACAGCTACTCTTTCTAGTCCACCGCTCCAGGTTTGTTTAAGACTGGCAGCTAAGGATGCTCAGGCACCTCTGTTAGATTCTTGGCAAAATGCCTGGGGCACCTGCTTCCTACCTGGGAATGGTCTCTCTTATTTGGGGCACTAGGAAGGGTTTATAGAGCATCTGCATTTTGGTAGAAAGATAATAACTTCCAGACTGACAGGTGAAAAATGTCCCCACATCACAGAGGTCAGTAAAAATCACAATGTCGGGTTTCTTTTCTGGATCTTTTTATGTTCAGCTATTTCCTACTCAAGTTTATATGGGCTGCAATGTCATCATAGTACGTGTGTATATAAACCAGTAAAGATCATTGCTTTTGTTATTATCTCAGATTTAAGAGCAGTACATTCTTCTTCTTCTTTTAAAAAATGGATTTAGTCTCTGCCAAACTATATGTGATGTTTCTACAAGAATATATGAAGACCGGGCAACCCTCTCAGGTCCCCCTCGCTCTTCAGGAGCTTTGTACAATCACTTTATTATCGCTCCATAAATTTTGCTTTGCTGCCCACCAAAAAAAGAATATATGAAGACCATTGAAACAATTTTGGTTTCAACCCCATGCTAAACTGAGGGGCATTTCTAACTCCTTCTTAGCTGGGCATGTTTCCCCTACCCCTCGTTCTCTCTTTAACCCAAACCTCAATAGTATCAGCTGGCTTCCTGGTGCCATTTTCTGGTCCTGCACTCTGACCTCATGACCAGATGATTTAAGTCATCTGGTTTTCCTACAGAAACAATGTTATACTGGACTCAATGACTAACTCTTCTTAGGTGTGATCCCAAAGACAATATTAAACCAATTAATCACAACATATATTACAACCACTATGTCATGTAGTATAACAACTTGAAAATCTATAGAAAGTAATAAAGAGAACTTTATGGGAACCCATCAATATATTTTTATGCGATACAGTAAAGTATAATAAAAAGTAAAATCTTCAAGACTTTGAAATTTCTGCCTTATTTGTAAATGCCACAAATTCCAGGGTTATGAAATGCAGAGGTCTGGGTGCCTGGGAGGCTCAGTTGGTTAAGAGACTGCCTTCGGCTCAGGTCATGATCCCAGGGTCCTGGGATCAAGTGCCGCATCGGGCTCCCCCTGCTCAGCAGGGAGCCTGCTTCTCCCTCTCCCTCTGCCTGCCACTCCCCCTGCTTGTGCTCTCTCTCTGTCAAATAAATAAATAAAATAAAATAAAATAAAAAGAAATTTTCTTTATAAAAAAAAAAGAAATGCAGAGGTCTTCCCTGTGATGGTTTTAGGGATATTTGAACAGACTTTTGATGAGACATTGAGTTTCTTGATGGCTATGAATAAACCGATCCAGGTTTGGTTGCTTCATTAGACATTTTTTCTCTCTGTGAATTTATTTAGAGAAAGCAAATGTAAAAAGACCTTGAGTATTTACTGTGTGAGGAAGTTTCTGTAATTATTTCCATTTTACAGTTAAGGAAACTGGAGGTATTGATGGGTGGGTTTCTTGTCTGAGGCTGTGCCACTAGTAAATGGTAGAGCTGGGATTTCAACCCAGGCTTGGATTCAAGGGCTTAGTGGGCGTACAGCATGTATGAGATGAAAAGATCGAAAATGGTCAGAACCTTCGACTTGGAGCCACCATGTGAAGCGCACATCTGCATGATCATTGTTTTGTGAGGCAGGGTCTGGCTGGGGTCAATCCCAACTGCCTTCTCTTACAGAGTGTGCATCATTTCCTCAAGGTTCTCTCAATTTTCTCCCAGCCTTCCATTCTGCTTCATTGGCATGCCAGAGACTTCATTTACACTATTAAAATGAATTATGAGTAGCTATCACCCCCACATATTTGATACAGTGAGAAATAGCTTGGTACTAGTTATTTTTGAATTTCTATTTAATAAGCACTTTACAGTGCTTCAAAACATATCATCAAATACAATCTTCAGCATTATGGAAAAAAAGAAGACAGTGAGGTCTTAGTAAACCTCCCCTTCTTTTCTGTGTGTCCTAGCACAACCCTGTGTGTTCTTCCAAACTATACACCCTCACACAACAGTGTCCTAGAAAATCTGCAAATTCACCTGGGGAAAAGGATTGCCAGTGTGGAGGTGATCGATATGTTGACCAACAATCACATATTTCAGAATTTCTGAGTGTTTCTTATTTACCTCTGGGTTTACTTGGGAAAATCCCATACA